TATATTATGCAAAGGAATGACCGAAGGCTATTATACAAGCCGTGGTTATCCCTCATGTACCTAAGAATTCGAGTACCACACTCTACACTCGGGGGGGAATCAAACCCCAGACAATAGGGGAATTACAAATGACCTGCAGGTGCCCGACCAACTGATCTGAGTATGCGGCGCATATATTTCATGCTTTTATTGGTTTTGTAAAGATTATACGATTCTAGTACTGTAATGTAATGAGATAATTATCTCAATTATGTTATGTCAAATTGAAATTGTCAACAAATTTCTGATCTTAAGTTTATAATAAGAAATATGGACTAATTATATGAGAACATGATCCTATAATTCAATAAAGACAAGTTTTGATATTTATATTTATTATGCAAAGGAATGGGCGAAGGCTATTATGCAAGCCACGGTTATCCTTCATGTGCCTGAGAATTCAAGTACCACACCCTACACTCGGGAGGAATCGAACCTCGGACCAGAGGGGAATTACAGACGACAAGCAGATGTCCGACCAACTGATCTAAGAATGCGGCGCACACACACACACATGTAAATATATATAAGTTGCGTTCTCTAGAGACGTATTGTATTTTGTTTGGCTATAACTTTTCACTTTTACGTAACTTTGCTTTACTTGTAATTGTTTTACTTCGCTTGTTTTGTAGTTTTGTGTTAAACGTAGCTTTCTTGAGGAAATAGTATTTCCTAGAAATGGCATTTACATATACCATGCACCCAACTGCTATGTAATCACCCAAAATATAAGACCGACAATCCGAACTCGATTTATTTGAGCTGATTTCGACCCGGCCCCAACTCAATTAGAAATCAGCTCATTAACCCGAGCTGAACCCGAAACCGTCTCGTTAACAACTTAATTTTCTTACCCTCCTTGCATAGGGGAGATCAAACAATGATAAAACCATCCATCATTTTCTTTATTTAATATTTAAATTAAATAAAATTATGAAATATGAATAGCCAGAGAAGTTATGCTGAAACATCATCGACTATTGATCATACTCATAGAAGTAATCAAATTTAAAATAATTTACAAGAATATGACATTACATTTTTTTTATATATAAAATTATAATAATACCTACTTAATTTAAATTTGGCACATTGATTTAAGGTTTATGCATCATCACAAAACGAGGCTTGATGAATCTAGATTATTACATGCAATAAATTTGTAACAAATAATTACAAAATAGGTTTTAAAAAAATAAAATAAATTAATCCCAGGTAAACTTGCATGAATAAATAAAACATGATTAGATTGTAAGACATTCTGTAGCATAACAAACAACCAAAAGTATTCTCTTATTGCCCAAAAGTTAATCAGAATTATGAAACAAACAACTACTTTACAGGACTCGATCAATATTTACCATCTTTAATGTTTGTCTTCTTTCCTGAGCTCAATACAGTTATATGAAAATGTAAAACAAAGGTATCAAAACAATATTTTGAAAAGTGAAATACAGCTTTACATGCAGAAATTTGTGTGACACCAAGTTGTTATGAATGTAAATATAAAAATGTAAAACGAGATCTCACCGCTGATTATAATATGGAAGAAATCTGATGGTTAAAATCACCATACCCGACATCAACAAGACAAAGGCCTTCAGGAGGAGCGGGAGGGGCGGTGGCGCGCCTGCATGTTGCGTTCATCAGATTGAGCAGAGCATCTGCATCCGCACCTGCTGCCGCCTCTCTTATGGCTGTGGAAACGAGCACACGAACCATCTGAAACAATAAGTATAAGGAGTTAACTTTTAAATTGGTATAATTTAGTCCTCCGATTATTAAAATTTCATCCCAATTGGTCCATCCTCTAGAAATCATGACAACAATGGTCAAAATTTAGTCACTCTACACAAAAGTGATGTTCTTAAGGGAACAATTTGGATCAATTTTCAATAGCCAAAGAACTTAGGCGTTGTTTGGTCAGGCTTCTTTTAAAAAAGACAAAAGCCTTAAAGTAATGCAATATAAAACTCTGAGACTAAAATTGGCCACATTAAAATAACCGGGTGTCCATTTTGGGATTTTAACGCAGTCAAATATACAAAAGCAGAAGTTTTGAATTACCTTACGCAAGAAGCGATTTGCAACGAGTTCCACGCACATCACTTTCACTTCTTCCGTGAAATCCTACAGATAATAGTATATTCACAGAATGTTATCGTCCATCCAAAAAAAAGCAATCTGTCAGATAAAGCTGAGATCTTGAAAGTTTTCATCAATTTTTTTTTACTCTAAAGCTAAAAAGTTCTTATCACATCTACCATAACTTATGTATCTCTAAAATAACACACCATAGTAATTTTCATAAATACCTAAAGAAAAGGCATCCACAATTAATTCAGCATATAAAAAAAGGAAAGAATATTTAATAATTACTTACATAATGCCAAATAAATAAATAAATACAAAACATGGTTAGTCGAAGTAACCTTAATGATGCAGGGCAGCTTGCTTTCAACAGCTCGAGCATGAAATATAAAGCACTCTGTTGGTGGGCCCCTGAAATAAACAGGAAAAAAATCTAAGTTACTCAAGTATTACACGAGCGGAATCAACATCTTTCATTTTTTCATTTTCCACTTCAATATCTGTACGAAGGGTGGGGAAGTTTGCCAACGATTAAATAAAACTAATTTCAACTTCAATTAAATCTAAAATCAAGAGGCTATAAAGAAAAAAAAAAATGTATAGCACTTCTAGCATGAAAGGCCTCGAAGATCAAGCACAGGAGGATAGCCTCCTTAGTTGGTGATAGGAAAGGGACTCTACGCCAACTTCGAAAAAAATACTAATCAAAAGACTTGGAAAAACAATTTTATGTATAAAATTTCATCAAAAAGTGTACTTTTTTCTCTAATGTCCATCATGAAGGTGAAAAGGTAAGAAATGAATGGTTGAGAGAAAAATGTGTGAACTAATAAAAAAAATAAATGGCTATGATGAACAAAACAATGCCTGAATTCCAACGCAAAAAAAAAAGAAGACTTCGATAAAAAGCATTTTGTTTCGAAATTAAAGTAGGGGCATTTAGATACATATCATTAAATTCTTATGTACATACATATATAACACCAAAACTTCATTTTTTGCCATTATGCCGCCCAAATCTTTCCGATTGCATAAAAAAATACAACTATTTTGACTTTTAAAAATAGGGCATTTACATTTGATGGAGAAGTGCAAAGGGAATAAGGAAGATCAACATACATTTTTTATTGATTTAGAAAAAGCTTACGATAAAAACCCAAGAGAAGTCCTTTGGAGAGTTCTAGAGAAGAAAGGTGTTGATATGACTTATATTCAAGTCATCAAAGATATGTATACTAGAGTTGTTACTTGTGTTCGAACAAAAGGAAGATTGAACAAATATTTTCCTATTTCAGTTGGATTATCCCAGGGATCGGCTTTAAGCAAATATTTTTTTGCTTTAGTTATGGAAGCTCTTAATGAACATTTACAGGAGGGTGTACCGTGGTGTATGTTTTTCGCTGATGATATCCTTCTTGTGGATAATACTAGAGAAATAGTTCAAGAAAAACTTGCATTATGGAGGTCTACATTGGAGTATATCTAAAACTGAATACATGGAATGTAGTTATAGTAGTAGTAGCTCTATTAGTAGAGTTATAACTATGAGTGATCAAATTATTAAAAGGTTTGAATGTTTTAGATATCTCGGATCTATTGTTCGAAGTGATGGTGATGAAGATGGGGATGTTATTAGTAGAATTCAAATTGATTGGTTGAAGTGAAGGAATGGATCTGGTATATTTTGTGATAGAAATCTGCCGCTTAGATTTAAAAGAAAAATTTTATAAGATGGTGGTGAGACCTGCAATGCTCAATGGCGCAGAATGTTGACCTTTAAAAGAGAAGCATAAAACAAAATTAAGTGTTCCTGAAATGAGAATGCTTAGGTGGATGAGTGGCTAGACAAAATAAGAAATGAATATATCAGCGATAGGGTTGGTGTAGCTCCAATGAAGGACAAGTTTAGAGAGAGTCGTCTAAGATGGTTTGTTCACATTAAACGTCGACCATCTGATGATCCAATTAGGAGAGTAGATGTTTTAGAAACTTATGTTAAGAAAGACAAAAGTAGATCTAAAAAGACTAGAGCATATTGTATAAAAAATGATCGTAATATATTAGAAATAAATGAAAATATGACACTCAATAGGATGCAATGGAGAAAAAGGATTCATGTAGTTGATCCAACTTAATGGGATAAAGGCTCGTTGCTTTTGTTGTATTTTAACTTTTAAAAAGTGAAATACACATTTTCATGCATATGAAATGTGACATATATGTAAAAATTGAAGTTTAGGCGTAAATATTATGTTGGAAGCCATGGTGACTAGAAAATTACGAGCTTCTAGAGGCTTTCGTATCCTCTTCCATTAAAATATTATGTTGGAAGCCATGGTGACTAGAAAATTACGAGCTTCTAGAGGCTTTCGTATCCCGTGCAAAGACTCTATAAGACAAAGACCTTCCTTCTAACCGGCATAAAAGCTGGTTAACTTTATCCACACTAAAGCTTGATGGCTTCATTTGTATGTTGACATTATCAATATATTTATTTGCACAGTCTCCGTCCATATGTTCCTCTTGTTGCTGCAAAAACCCATCATCCTCATCCTTGCAACTTGGGTGGTCCATCTGATCATCATTGACTTGAATATGCAGACTTTCCTCCAGTGGGAAGATATAGAAGTATCGCCTCCACTTCGCAGCAAAATTTGGATGGAAAACACGGGGAACCTGTAATTTTCAACTTTATTTAAGAATCTATACATCCCGGATCATCTCTGGACACTAACACAGAATCACAACAGCTGTGGGCGTTTAACTGGTATAGACGTATGGAGAAGAGAATATTAATGTAAAGGGGCTTTTAAATACATAGCACACAATTCTAATGCATTTACATACGTCACACATAAGATTTCATATATACACACACTGCACTCAAATCTTTAATATCACATTGAAAATTGCACTATTATCACTTTTTAAAAATGAAATACACCTTTTCAGACATAGGTTTAAAGCACCAAGGTGTTATTTATGTAAATATGAAAGTTTAAGTGTCAGATATATAAATACAAAAGAAAGGTGGGCTGGGAATGTAAATTTCCCTGATGTGAAATGAGACAGCTCGATATAAACTAAGAGTTTATAGGAAATGAATAAAAAGCGGAAAACAATACAAATGGATTAAACATCCGAAAAGCTTCAAAAGTGTTAACTATCTTACACAAAACCATTGAAATTGTGGTCCGAAACACATTCAAAATCCTAGACATAATTTATATAAAAAAATCTAAACGCATTCAAAATGCCCCTGATTAGGCTGTAGTCAAATAACCTGCAGCCTATTTATATGGCAATAAAAAAAATTATTGAAATAAGAGTTTTACACAAATCATGAAAAACTAATGTCAGCAAGAACCCAGCACTTAGTTTGAGACACGAAAGGCACCAACCACAATCTTTTAAGATACTTTAAAAACTTGGGTTTCAATCGTAACGGCCACTTGACCAGCCAGAAAACAAGGAGCAATGCATCCAAAAAATGAGGAAAATTTACATACATAACACTCAATTCCTATATATTTACATGTCTAACACCTGAACTTCAATTTTTAAATACATGCCACCTTACCTATGCATGAAAAGGTGTATTTCACTTTTTCAAAGTTAAAATGTTGCGTTTTTTATGTGATATGGATAATTTGGGTAGTAAAAATGCAAAAAATAAAGTTTAGATACTATATATGTAGATACATAAAAATTGGGTGGTATTTATGTAAATGCCCCAAAAATTTAACGAAAATAAGTCCCACTAGCAGTTGGAGATCTACGGTTCATCTTGGTAATAAAACAAAACAAAATGCAGCATAGTAGAAAAGGTTTGCCAAAAAGAAATGCTTACCTCAGAAATAAACAAAACTCTAAGTTTTCCTGGGGCTGCTGCATTTATAGCATCCTTCAAATCACCACATTTAACATCTTTTCTCCAGGTATCTGGTTAACAACAAATAGAAGCAATTTCACATTTCAATAAATGCAAGACAAGTGTTTTTTTAGGCATATTATAAGCACTCCTGCCTAAGATTGTCATATTAAAGCGTAAAAGATCACTTCTTCGAAAAGTGGCTAACAAAAAATTAAAATAAAATTAATAATGAAGGCTCTTGTAATGTATCTCAGGTGGTTTTTGAAAAAGAAAATTTGAGTATACATGCCCAAAAGCAGGTAAAACTAAAAAAATATGTTCATTGTCTGTTTTCTTGAGGAAAAACGCCCCAAAATTTCATTTTGGACATTAATATCCCCAATAATATTATATCATCGCAATAGAATGACGACATCCTGCCCGTTTCATATGTTGGCGTTCGTTATTTGAGATTTTATCACTCATGGAGATAAGGCAACTGCTATAATGGAGTTCCATCATCAAGCATGAATTTTTTTTAAAATATTTCTATCGTATTTCATAGATTAGGTTATTTCTATGGAGCTCTAACACAGATTTGGATAGAATATAAAAAACTGCATTCCAAACTTTGTTAGAGTAACTGTTCGAAAAATGTCCAAACCAAAATCAAACGTTATTTAAACACATGTCCAAAACTCATTCGAACTATTTTTTTTTTATCATGTCTGAATATGTCCAAACTCCAAACCATAATCAAATGTTTTTCAAATATGTTTGAACACATGCTCAAATTTATTAAACAATCGCTAAAAAAAGGGCAAAAAATTGATAGTACAAATTATACTTCCCTTGAAAACCTCAAAGATATTCTATGCAAAGTGCCAGAGAATGATAAGAGCCAATTAAATTTGAAATCAAAGGTGACGCACCATTTTGGTGGAGCACATTAACAAGTTCAATTCTTCTGATTGAGCTACTAATAGATTACAATCTTACATTCTTATTTTGGATGAGATATCTATATCCATTCAACACCGATCTCTCACATGTTCTAGTTCTCCTAAGAAAATTTTAGCAGCAAATTTTATATAAATAAAAATGAAGCATGATCATTCAATTCACCATCAGTGATGATGTGAACAAACCACATGCAGAAGTGACGCTTTCGACATATCACATGCAAGAGCAGGTGAAGTTGTGGACATACAAGTTGTGAAAGATGTGACTCCATAGATATTGCAACACTAAAGCGTCCAATCTACAAACCGAATTTGTGACCTACCTAGAACAAGTAGACGAGGAAGGTCTTCTGATTTGTCTTGTAACTTGGGGCTATGAACAACAATATAAGATATGAAAAACATATAGATAACTCTTAACCTGCAGTAAGTGCCTGAAAGAAACTCCAATATAGTGTTTATTGTTATAATAGTTTTATATTCAAATTTACACTCACTTGTTTTGATTTTAGCAAACTTTGAAATACAAAAAAGAGTTCAAAAGTAAATGTTGCATCTATATGGAATGAAAAAATTAGAGAAATGCTCATGAAACTTGGCAGCCATGAAGTTGGGAAACTTGAACATTTTTGAGATTATAAATCATAATGCAAAACAAACCTCCACCGACAAGCTCAGTCATTGTTCATTGGTCACAAGACCAAAGAGAAACTTATGAGATCTACTCATAATTTAAATCCATAAAATATCATAATAGATGTGAAGAGAGACCATAACATTGATTAGTTACATGAGACGGTATGGCAGAGTTATGAGTAAGATATCACTTGATAGAATAGAGCTCTCTGAAATATCATTTTAGAATATATCATCTTACAAATTTATGCTACATAGGAAAATTCAGTGACAATAATTGATTTGTAATGTGACAGTGAAGGACATTTCAAGTTTTAGAATATATCATCTTACAAATGAGGCATCTCTAAATAATTGATTTGTAATGTGATTTGTTTTTGTTCAAGATTTTAAGGCAACATCTCACTCAGTATTAGTTGTGGGTGAGTCATCTCTAAATTTTGTTTTTGTTCAAGATTTTAAGGCAACATCTCACTCAGTATTAGTTGTGGGTGAGTCATCTCTAAATACACAACGTTAATGTACTTTGATTATGGCAATAGAGCAAGATACCAATGCTTGCATTTTACCCATGGCACTTGTAGTAGTTGACTAAGAAAATAATGAGTCGAAATTATTTTCATGACCAGACTAAGAGACTCAGTACGCACAATGGATAATACTAATATTTTATCAGCCATTTTCCAGAGACACATTATGGAGCATGCACTTATCATGCGAAAATAATTTTAAAGCAAATTTTAAAACTGAGAGTTGTCACTAGGCTTTCAAGGCTCACAAAATACTTTCTACCAGCACTTTGATTTAAATACGTGTTAAGAGACCAACATATGTGGATAGGGATGAGCACTGGGCTTATATTTTTTTTTAAAAAAACCAATATAACTTAATGAAAATATATAAACAATTATTATAGCATATGTGATACCGGACTTGACCCAAAACACAACAGAAACAACAAATATTATTTCCAAAAGCAATTAGGCAGTTACAACCAACACATTTGAAAGAAAAAATACAATAACATACATAAAAAAACACAACTAGAGTGGATCCGAAGGATGGTGGTAGTGGTTGGTGAGGGTTTGGAAAGTGGCACGGGGGTGGAAAAGGCGGTTATCAAGTAAAAAAACACAAAAGCGGTTGTTTCCCTGGTGTTGGACAATACGCAAACAGCAGAGGGTGATGTGGGAGGGCTGCCCGGCGTGATGGCGGCAAGGATGAAGGGCAGAAATGATGGCAGTGGCAAAGAGGAGGGGCTGGACAGCAGTGAAACAGCTAGAAAGGGTGGTCTTGGGTTGCGGCAACAAGGGAGGAGGGCAGCATCAAAAGGGAAGGAGTTGTGGCAATCACTCCAACACCTTTTGTGCTTTATCACACCAATTATCAGCTTCATTCCGTCCTCCCACACCTGGTATCAATCTTCCAATCTCTCCAACACCTTTTGTGCTTTATCACACCTTTTAGGAAAGCTAGGCCGATGTCATCAGGGAAAAGAGCACATCAAACCCTAGGCGTATAAGAGCACAGCAAACCCTAAATCTTTAGGGATTGATTAGTTAAATGAGACGGTATGGCAATGAGACAGTATGGCGGAGTTACGAGCAAGATACACTGATATGATAGAGCTCCCTGAAATATTATTTTAGAATATATCATCTTACAAATTTATGCTACATAGGAAAAATCAGGGACGATAATTGATTTGTAATGTGACAGTGAAAGACATTTCAGGTTTGTATACATTTCTTTAGATGTTCGTGTTCAAGATTTTAAGGCTACATCTCACTCAGTATTAGTTGTGGGCAAGTCATCTCTAAATACACAACGTTAATGTACTTTGCTTGTGGCAATAGAGTAAGATACCAATGCTTGCATTTTAGCTATGGCATTTGTAGTGGTTGACTAAGAAAATCATGAGTCGAAATTATTTTCATGACCAGACTAAGAGACTCAGTACAAATTTTAAATCAAACTTTAAAACTGAGAGTTGTTGTATATATTATAGCATATGTGATACCGAACCTAACCCAAAACATAACAGGAACAACAAATATTATTACCAAAAGCAGGGGGTGATGTGGGAGGGCTGCCCGGTGACACACACACACATTTCTACCTTCACAAAAAATTTACCTCAACACGTATCACCAAAACCTTCCACCAAACAATTGAAAGGAGACATAAAGTGAAATGAGTCATTTGCAATCTTACATTTTTTTGTAACCAGATCGAAAGGAAATGACGTCATGCCACCAAAGAGAAAACCTCAGCTAGGTGCCCAGGACTTGTTATGAAAGATATGCAACGGAAAATCCTCCACCTACAGCAGAGGCTTCATTGGAGAGGAAACAATCCGGTGAGGTCAACCATAGCCACAACGATGAATCATCAGATCAAGATGAGGAAGTGAATCCCTTCCACCAAATAATTTTCAGTGATGAACCATTACCTCAATGATTTGGCATAGCATATCAAAGTAGGCTCGCCGAGATTTTGGAGCAAAGATTGAGTGCCAGATTTTAACGATCACATGGATCAAGGCAACATCATTGATTGGCTCCATACAGTGAAATGAGTCATTGAATACAAGGATAATCCACTCGAAAAAATGATTAAGGTAGCCAACATAAAATTAAAGAGTGCATCTCTAAGGTGGGAGAACTCGAAGCTTCATCAACAATCGAAAGGGAAAAAGCAAAATCACTACTTGATCCAAAATGAAAAGAAAGATGCAATGTAAGTATCTACTTGTGCATTATAGACATGTTGTATTCTTGAGGCTTCATCACTTACAGCAAAAAGATCTTTCAATAGAAGATTACACTGCTGAGAACGAGTATCTTATGTTGAAGTGTGAATTAGTGGAGCCCGAAGAGAGCACTATTGCTCAATATCTTAGGGGATTGAGACTGTCTATTAGCAACGTGGTCCAATTGCAACAATAAGAGACCTTACAAGATGTCCAAACTTTAGCCTTGAAGGTAGAAAGGCACGCCATAGTATTAGGTCCACACCAACTTCCAAATCAGATTTGACATTCAAATCAAATTGTAAAAGCACGCCAGCCAGAGTATCCAGACCTACCCCACATGAAGAGAAACCATCATAGAAGGAAAAGAGGACTGGTCAGACGAACACCCCAAAGACATTTCCCAGTCAGAAGATATTTCAAATTTTATGGATACAGGCAACCGTTCGAACAAAAGGCTGATTTCTTTTACAAAGCAGGCTATAGTGAAGGAGACATAAAGTGAAGACTCATAAGAATAAAATGGAGAAAAGTACCAGCTACCTGTAGATGGCCGAGAGAAGTTTGCGGTTAGACAAGTTCAGTAATGGCTTAGCCATAACATTTTTCGTACCTGTGGTATTATAAAGGAGAAACTATGTAGTCTCATCATAAATGAATATACTTGTGAAAATATGGCATATAAACAGATGGTCAATAAATTGAGTCTCTCTACACATAAGCATTCCCAACCATCTTC